ACATCTGCAGTTAACACCTGGGAAAAGGAAGCGGAGGAAATGTCAGTTACGCATTTGTCTCTGGGACGATTTCTGGTTTTGCCTTTGTCCTCTCTCCACAAGAATCATCTGGTAATTGGGCTGGGCGCGGTGGCTCAAGCCTGTGATCCCAGCACTCTGGGAGGCTGAGGCGGGTGGATCATGAGGTCAAGAGATCAAGACCATCCTGGTCAACATGGTGAAACCCTGTCTCTACTAAAAATACAAAAAATTAGCTGGGCATGGCGGCGCGTGCCTGTAATCCCAGCTACTCAGGAGGCTGAGGCAGGAGAATTGCCTGAACCCAGGAGGCAGAGGTTGCGGTGAGCCGAGATCACGCCATTGCACTCCAGCCTGGGCAACAAGAGTGAAACTCCGTCTCAAAAAAAAAAAAAAAAAGAATCAGCTGGTAATTGACATCGTCAGGGTGAGATCCAAAAAACTTGTTTTAGGGCAAGTTTATAGGGGGGAGATAGAGTCTGGAAGACGTACTTGTTCACAAGGAATGTCTACGTGAGCACTTTGGGAGAGAGGACCTCTGGGGAGGTGTGTGGCCTTCCAAGGTTGTAGGATCCTGGCTTACAGATGACGCTGTAACACGGGGCTGTGACATTGCAGCTGCCTGTTTGGGAAGGAGAGGAAGGCAGTGCTGCACAGTCCCAGGCTGAACGTCGGGTCCTGGGAGTCTGTTTTCTTTCACAACCAGCTGCAGAGCTGTCACAAGGGAGACAAACAGGATTAATGGAACGTCAACAGGACGCAGTTGGGGACGTGAATCTCCCTCGCCAGCGGAGATTTGCACGCGTGGCCTGAGGCTATCCTGCTGCAGGTTTAGTGCTCTGGGGAGGTCAATTTTTCATTTAATTTTAGTTCATTTAAATTAAAAAAACTAAAGCACTGTGAAATCTCCTCCTGGGCCGGGCGCGGTGGCTCACGCTTCTAATCCCAGTACTTTGGGAGGCCGAGGCAGGTGGATCACTTGAGGGTCAGGAGTTCAAAACCAGCCTGGCCAACATGGTGAAACCTTGTCTCTACTAAAAATACAAAAATTAGCCAGGAGTGATAGTGGGCACCTGTAATCCCAGTTACTCGGGAGGTTGAGGCAGGAGAATTGCTTGAACCTGGGAGGCAGAGGTTGCAGTGAGTCAAGATTACACCACTGCACTCCAGCCAAAGGGACAAAGCGAGACTCCATCTCAAAAAAATAAATAAAAATAAAAATAAAAACTTCGGTCGGGCGCGGTGGCTCACGCCTGTAATCCCAGCACTTTGGGAGGCCGAGGCGGGTGGATCACGAGGTCAAGAGATCGAGACCATTCTGGTCAACATGGTGAAACCCCGTCTCTACTAAAAATACAAAAATCAGCTGGGCATGGTGACGCGTGCCTGTAATCCCAGCTACTCGGGGGGCTGAGGCAGGAGAATTGCTTGAACCCAGGAGGCGGAGGTTGCGGTGAGCCGAGATTGCGCCATTGCACTCCAGCCTGGATAACGAGAGTGAAACTCCATCTCAAAAAAATAAAAATAAAATAAATAAAATAAATAAAATAAAAACTTCTCCTAAAAAAACCACAAGAAAAAAATTGTGCAACGCTCTGTTGATCCCGCCACACTCAGAGCTCTGTTCAGTGTGTGGCGGGTCCTCTGACCTCAATGCCGTCAGCACCTAGGTGACGGTGACGCAAAAGCCAGTGAATTCACTTAATTTAGATTGACGTAGTTTTGAAATGAATATGCTTCTGCTTCAGAGACAAATCTATTCCTCTAAAACAAATGAACCAGTTTTTCAATGTGGGAGGTGAACTGTAAAGGTGACTTTTGATACAAGACTCAGTTATAAAAAAAAAAAAACTTAAATATGTGAATCTACTCTTCTCAACTGTAACCTTCGTGAAATTTAAACAAGTATTTTTTTTTATTTTATTTTTTTGGAGACAGGGTCTTGCTCTGCTACTCAGGCTGGAGTACAGTGGCACCATTTAGGCTCACTGCAACCTCCACACCCCAGGTTTAAGCAATTCTCCTGCCTCAGCCTCCCAGGTAGGTGGGATTACAGGTGCCCACCACAATGCCTGGCTAATTTTTATATTTTTAGTGGAGACAGGGTTTCACCTTGTTGGCCAGCTGGTCTTGAACTCCTGACCTCAAGTGATCAGCCCATCTCAGCCTCTCAAAGTGATAGGATTGCAAGCATTAGCCACCGTGCCCAGCCAAATCAAGCACTTCTCATGAAAAGTTCATCCAAATTGAGGTATGTGTATGCAGAAAATACACACCAGATGTCAAAAACAGGGGACCAAAAAAATACAAAATTTCTCACTCATGATTCCTTATATTGATTACATGCTGATGGAACATTTGTGATAAATTGAGCTAAAGTGTATATTAAAATTAATTTCATGTATGTGTTTCCTTTTTTATGGGGCTAGGAGAAAATTTAAAATTATTTACATGGGGAAAAAAGCTAAAGTTGCCATTTTTTCCCTTTGCCTTCATTTATCTGCTTGTATAATAGACACTGAAGAGCAAATCTTTCTAAAGAAGTACGTGTATGACTTAAATTATACGTACATTTGTTTGTTTGTTTGTTTGTTTGTTTGTTTTTGAGACAGAGTCTTGCTCTGTCGCCCAGGCTGGAGTGCAGCGGCACAATCTTGGCTCACTGCAACCTCCACCTGCCAGGTTCAAGCAATTCACCTGCCTCAGCCTCCCGAGTAGCTGGGAATACAGGCGTGCAGCACCTCACCCAGCTAATTTTTTGGGTTTCACCATGTTGGCCAAGATGGTCTTGAACTCCTGACCTCATGATCTGCCAACTTCAGCCTCCCAAAGTGCTGGTATTACAGGCGTGAGCCACTGAGTCTGGCTACATTATACTGTCTGCAGCACCGGTTCAGAACACCATGACTTTTTCTTGTTTTTTTTTGAGACAGAGTCTTGCTCTGTTGCCCAGGCTGGAGTGCAGTGCCGTGATCTCCACTCACTGCAACCTCCACCTCCCAGGTTCAAGCGGTTCTCCTGCCTCGGCCCCCTGAGTAGCTGGGATTACAGGCACATGTCACTATTAGCAGCTAATTTTTGTATTTTTAGTAGAGACAGGGTTTCACCATCTTGGCCAGGATGATCTTGATCTCATGATTTAGTGATCCACCCACCTCAACCTCCCAAAGTGCTGGGATTACAGGCGTGAGCCACCGCACACAGCCCATGACATTTGACCAAAGGAGTCAGCAGAGGGAAGGCTGCCCAGGCCCCAAGCTCACCACGAGACATTCGGCTTGAAGGATACACCCACACCGTTGGTTCATTCTCACAAATTTTCTCCGCTCCCATCTATTTTGAAGACTCTGGCTACCTGGCTACCAGATACCATTCTAGGGCAAAAGCCCAGCGCATCTCCAGGGTTTCCTGGGAAGCCGGATCAATGAGTGAGATCTCCTGGGAGCAGCCCTCAGCAGGCAAGGGCTTTGGCTGGCTGTTCTCCACAATCATGTGTCCACAGTAGACCCACCCTGCTCAGGCTGGAATTCTCTCAACATTATGCAAAAGGCCTCCCTGTGCCCATTTGACAGATGCAAAAACTGAGGCCCAGGAAGGTCAAGTTTGGGGAATTCTTTTAATTGTATGTTTCCTGAGCATCCATTTGAATATAAGTTGGCCTTTTTTGTTTCAGAAGCAGAGATTAGTAGCACAGTTTCCAGTTATCCAACTCCTCCCAGCTCCTCCAGGTGCTCATCCAGACATCTCCCTTATAAAACCACCTCCTGTGACCACCTCCCCATGGACAGCTGGGTATCACCTGTTTGGCTTGTCCCACTGACCCTCACACCCACGCTGACCCCTCTCAGTCACAGCGTGAGTCCCCTGGGCTCATGCCTGCTTGCTCTCATCACCCCACCCCCCGCCCCATCAGAACCCCCATGGGAAACGTGTTCAGATAACACCCAGGGCCCTGAGCCTTTGGCCCGCAACTCCCTCTCTTCTTCTGCACCAGCTGGCTGAGCCCGTGTGTCCTGGTTGGCTCTCCATTTTGTTGTTTGTTTTTTGAGACTGAGTTTCACTCTTGTTGTCCAAGTTGGTGCGATCTCAGCTCACTGCAACCTCTGCCTCTCGGGTTCAAGTGATTCTCCTGCTTCTGCCTCCTGAGTAGCTGGGATTACAGGCGTGTACCACCATGCTCAACTAATTTTTTTGCATTTTTAGTAGAAACGGTGTTTCACCATCTTACCCAGGATGGTCTTGAACCCCTGACGCCAGGTGATCTACCTGCCTCGGCTTCCCAAAGTGCAGGGATTACAGGTGTCAGCCACTGCGCCCAGCCTGACTCCCCCTTTTCACTGGCCCTACTGCAAACTGTGGTGCCCTCTCTTCTCTGGATCTGTAAGCAATAAACTGCTTCTGTCATTTCATGGGTTCTGATGAGTTGCCTCCTCTACCCCATCCTAACTTCTTCCCTGGTCAGGGCTCTCTGGGAGAGTGGCTGTCTTGGTAGGAATAAACAGGTGAGATGAGAGCCACAAGGGCATGTGCCAGGATAAACAAGCTTCCCATGAGAGGGGCACCTGGCCACAGGCTGGACACTTAGGTATCAGGCCGTCCACCAGGACAGAGAAGGACCCCACGAAAGGCACATGGGAAACACCCAGACCACATCCCCAGGACCCCCATCGAGGCAGAGCTAGAGTTTATAGCCACTCTCTCCTGAGAGGGACAGCAAGACCAAATTAGGAGAAAAAAAAAAAAGCCACATCGAGCCACGTGCCGGAAGTCACATGCACGCAGCCTGCAGGCACAAGGTGCACAGCTCCTCGGCGACTCTGCCCCTTCTGCCGCTGCCAGAAACACCAGAGAGACTTCTGATGTAGCCTCAGGCCCTGAGATCCAAAAATGCCAGTGTTTGGAAAGCCACTCCCTAGGCAACAACGAACGATGACGCTCTAGCCTACTGTTTTCTGCTATCTTTTTTAAAAAGCCACAAATTCAAAAATTTGAAAAATTAGTTCATTAGTTTAATACAATGAGGTCAATGGAATCCTGTTTTGATCTCAATACTTCCCATATTGCAATCTATAAATGTGACAAATTCACCTCTCTTATGACATGATAAGCATCTAGGCTGGGCAGTTAGCCTACCCTAGTTTACAGTTCACGTTCTTCATGGCTTTGCAGCATTTGTCATTTTATACGATGTGTTCAAAGACCAGAAAAGCCCACACTTGACCTGTCAGCAGGTCCTTGAACAGCTGTAGGTTTTGGGTTTTGTGGGTTTTGTTTTGTTTTGTTTTGTTTGAGATCCAGTCTCCCTCTGTTGCCCAGGCTGGAGGTCAGTGGCGCAATCTCCACTCACTGCAACCCCCGCCTCCCAGGTTTGAGTGATTCCCCTGCCTCAGCCTCCTGAGTTGTTGGAATTACAGGTGCACGCCACCATGCTTGGCTAATTTTTTGTATTTTTAGTAGAGACAGGGTTTCACCATGATGGCCAGGCTCGTCTCAAACTCCTGACCTCAAATGATCCACCCGCCTCGGCCTCCCAAACTGCTAAGATTATAGGCGTGAGCCACTGCACCCAACCTGTAGGTTTTAACTAATAATAAGGGTATTACTCTATCATTCAAATTCTCCAGGTACTGTCCTGGTTTTTATTTTTTCATTTTTATTTATTCATTTACTTTTGAGTCAGGGTCACTCTGTCACCCAGGCTGGAGTGCGGTGGCGGCACAATCTCAGCTCGCCGCAGTCTCCACCTCCCGCGTTCTACTGATTCTTGTGCCTCAGCCTCCCAAGTAGCTGGGACTACAGGAGTGCACCACCACACCAGGCTAATTTCGGCATTTTTTTGTAGAGATGGGGGGAGGGGGTCTCACTATGTTTGTTAGTCAGGCTGGTATCGAACTCCTGACCTCAGGTAATCCACCTGCTTTGGCCTCCCAAAGTGTTGGGATTACAGGCATGAGCCACTGCACCCAGCCAGACCTTGGTTTTAAATTTTGATTTGATGTACATGTCAAAAATTAAATTATTTCATGCATTATTTCCTAATGAATTTGTGTTTCAAATGACATAATGAATTTTAGGATTCCTACATTTATTTTATAAAGGTGAAAATTAAATCGATTGATCTAAGTATTTCCAAGCAAAGTTTGGGATGAAAGCTCTTCTGGGAAGGCTTGCCCTTGATTCTTGCTACATGTACTTGTTCAGCCACTCGATTAAATTCCTTCTGGCCTCGTCAATGTAGGGCTTGTCCTCAGGTGAACAGTTTTCTCTCTTCCGATGCACGAACCCATGAGTTTGCCCGGAAAATGTCTTAATTTGATATTCAACTTTGCAGTGTTCTTTCAGCTTCTGGGTCAGCAAGGATACCTGGTATGCAAAAGATTTCATGATTTTAACCCGTTAGTAATATTTTCCATTCTCCACATCTTCAGTGAGCGTTCATAACAGAGATTTCACATGGATGCTTTACGTTAGAAACAAGTTCCACAGTTATACTGAATTCTTTCCTGCTATATTTTTTTTAAGACAGGGTCTCGCTCTGTTGCCCAGGCTGGAGTTTAGTGGCGCCATCGTGGCTCACTGCAACCTCCACCTGCCAAGATCAAGCAATTCTCCTGCCTCAGCCTCTGGAGTAGCAGGGACGACAGGCATCTGCCACCGCATCTGGCTAATTTTTGTATTTTCAGTGGAGACGGGGTTTCACCATGTTGACCAGGCTGGTCTCAAACTCCTGACCTCAAGTGATTCACCTGCCTCAGCCTCCCAAAGTGCTGGGATTACAGGCATAAGCCACTGCGCCCAGCCTTTACTGCTAACTTCATAATGAACTCAGTTCTTATGTCTGGCAAAGGAGAGATTTCAGAGCAATGTGAAAATGATACATCTATTATTTGAATCACTTGCATTAATGTATTGGTTACTAATATTATAACAATAATTTCTAAATGACTACTTTTTTTTCTTAGAGTCAGGGTGTCACTCTGTCACCCAGGCTGAAGTTCAGTGGCACAATCGTGGCTCACTGCAGCCTCACAACTCCTGTGCTCAAGCAATCTTCCTGCTTCAGGGTCTCAAATAGCTGAGACTACAAGGTGTGTGCCACCATGCCAGCTAATTTTTTTATGTTTTTGTAGAGTGGGGATCTAGACAGACTGCCTAGCCTGGTTTCACATGGTGAAACCCCGTCTCTACTAAAAATACAAAAATTAGCCAGGCGTGGTGGCGCACACCAGATACTCAGGAAGCTGAGGCAGGAGAATTGCTTGAATCTGGGAGACAGAGGTTGCAGTGAGCTGAGATCGCGCCACTGCACTCCAGCCTGAGCGAGAGAGAGAGTCTCTTCTCAGAATAAATAAATAAGAGAAAAGATGCCAACTTACGTTCTCAAGTGGAATCACAACATCATTTTCAGCAAAAATGAACAAGGTGGGGTTCTTTAAATTGTAAATGTCTTCAGAATCCTTGACGATGCCTGAAAAACGAGCACAGAGGCGAGATGCAGGATCCCCACACTCATGTCACGGAAAACTGGGTTTCATTTTTCAAAGTAAAATCTCTACTTTGGGAGGCTTTATTTTCTTTTTTTAGCCATTCCATAGAAGTGGCCTGACCTGTAAGATTAGCGTAAAAGAAGGCTGGGCGCAGTGGTTCACGCCTGTAATCCCAGTGCTTTGGGAGGCGGAGGCAGGTGGATGGCTTAGGCTCAGGAGTTTGTGACCTGCCCAGGTAACATCGCGAAACCCTGTCTCTACTATATATATATATATATATATATATATATATATATATATATATAACACACACAAAAATAAGCCAGGCATGGCGGTGTGTGCCTGTAGTCTCAGCTACCTGGGGGACTAAGGTGGGCGGATCACTTGTGCCTGCCAAGTTGAAGCTGCTTGAGCCATGTCTGTGCCACTGCACTCCAGCTTGGGTGACAAGGTGAGACCCTGTCTGTAAAAGAAACCCAAAAAGATCATGTACAAGAGAAATTTCTTTAGTCAGATCTTCCTACTCTCTACCTCCCCACTTTATGCACTAAAAATCAGGCCATTAAATAATTGAAGGAGACCTTGTCCACTGCTGAGTATGGGAAGGTGCCAGAGCAGCCTGGGGAATGCTGCCTCCGGGAAGTGCCTTCATTTACAAAGAGGTGATCACTTTCAAACCCTCATTTGAGAAATTTCTCAGGTCTGCACAAGCCCCACAGATTTTGGCTTGAATGCTCTTGAGTAGTTTCATTTGTACCAGACCAAGAGTGTGGAAGTGTGAAACAGACTGGGCCTCACAGATCCGTGTATAAAAATCAGCTTTTGGCCAAGCGTGGTGGCTCACCCCTGTAATCCTAGCACTTTGGGAGGCCAAGGCGGGTGGATCACTTGCGGTCAGGAGTTCCAGACCAGCCTGGCCACCAATGCAAAACCCTGTCTCTACTAAAAATACAAAATTAGCTGGGTTTGGTAGCCCCAGCTACTCAGGAGGCTGAGGCAGGAGAACTGCTTGGGCCCAGGAGGCAGAGAGAGGTTACAGTGAGCCAAGATCGTGCCACTGCACTCCAGCCTGCTGACAGACCAAGATGCTGTCTCAAAATAATAATTAGTTTTCATCTTTCATGTCAGCATTCGAGATTAATTCTGAAATTAGAAGCATGCTCTGCCTGACCCAGGCTGTCTGAAAACAACCTGTGGGTGTGTTCACTTCTATGGGAAAATATGTGAAAGTTTTGCAGTAAGTTACCATTTTAAGAAGAAGTAAATAAATAACTTTTTCCCCACTTTCTGCTGGCAGCACAGAAAAACTAAGTAACAGAGAGAGCCTCCTTCACCTGTAACTACTCTTTAGGAAGCACGGAGCCCAGGAAAAGGTGGCCACGCTCTCTTCCCCACTCTGGCAAAGTCGCTTCATATGGCTGGGTCCCTTTTGATGTCCCTGGGTCTGAGCCCGGCCATGCTCCGCAGCTCACGCACTGCACAACAGCGGCCAGAAGGTGGCGCCGGGGAGGCATCCACTCCAGACCGCCTTTTGCTAAACCGCGCAAAAGCACGGTCTGGACAAAGCATCTGTCAGTTCCATTGTTCCCAGAGGCAGCCGGCCACTGCCTTGAGTTTCTGTCCTTTTGTGTTGTCATAAGTCAATATATGAGGGTTTGTTTTTTTTTTTTTTTTTTTCATGCTAAGAGTGGTCGAAAATACCACAGTGAGGAACCATTAAGCCAAGAAAAAATCATTAGTATAACTTCATGACCCGCTTCAGACGTCCCAGGCTCAGCGATGGTTCCACGCACCCATACAACCATTGTTGTTCACTTTCAGTACAGAATTCAGTAAACTGCATGGGCTATTCAACACTCTATTATAAAACAGGCCTTGTGTTAGACAATTTTGCCCAGCTGGAGGTTGATGGCGGTGTTTAAGGGGGGCCAGGTGAGGCTATGAAGTTCGGTAGGTGAGGTGGATTAACTGCATTTTCGACGGGATATTCTCAGTTTAGGATGAGTTTATCAGACTTAGCCCCACGGTAAGAAGAGAAGCATCTGCATTATTTTTAAAGGCTGTATTTCCTATGTGTCTTTTTTGTTTCTGCATATATATTGGTCTGAATGCTTCCATATCATGAATTTAGCAAGCAGTTTCTATAAACAGATACAATGCCATTTCATTGCTAAAAAACTTTGGTTTGTTTTCGCCAAAAATATTTAAGTTGCTATTTATATTTCAAAGTGTGCTTTCCTTTCCTTTCTTCCTTTTTTTTTCTAGAGACTAGGTCTCAGTCCCTGTCACCCAGGTTGGAGTGCAGTTGTGCATTCATAGCTCAGCGTAGCCTCTAACCTCTGGGCTCAAGTGAGCCTCCTGCCTCAGCCTCCTGCCTCAGCCTCCTGAGAGACTGGGACCACAGGTACGTGTCCGAACACCCAAGTAATTTTAAAATTTTTTATAGCCACAAGGTCTCTCTATGTTGCCCAGGCTGATCTCGAACTCCTGGGCTCAAGCTATCTGCCTGTCTTGGACTCCCAAAGTGCTAGGATTACAGGCATGAGCCACCGTGCCTGGCTGCTTTTGCTTTCTTTCTGTCTTTAGTGTGTGTGCATGTTTGTGTACAGTTAGAACAATTTGTATCTTGGGAAAATCTTTTTCTTTCTTTCTTTTTTATTTTGTTTATTTATTTTTTTTGAGAGAGGGTCAAGCTCTGTCACCCAGACTGGAGTGCAGTGGCGTGATCACGGCTCACTGCAGCCTCGACGTCCTCGGGCTCAAGTGATTCTCCCACCTCAGCCTCCTGAGTAGCTAGAACCACAGGTCTATGCAACCACACCCAGCTAAGTTTTGTATTTTTGTAGAGACAGGGTTTTGTCATGTTGCCCAGGCTGGTCTCCAACCCCTGAGCTCAAGTGATCTGCCCGCCTCAGCCTCCCAAAGTGCTGGGATTACAGGCATTAGCCACTGCCAGAAAAATATTTTCATAGATGTCGCTCATAAAAATCTTATGTAATGTAATGATATTGATCATCATTATATCATTGATCATCATTACATTAAAAACAATGCTATCCCCTTCATCCTAGGTGAAGAAATGGAGAGCTCAGGTTAGGTGGCTTTCCCAAAGTCACACCATTGGGACCCAGGCTTCTTCACTCCCAGTGACATCCTCTGGTTAACTGCATGACAAACCTCCACTTCTATTTTCAGATTCTTAAAGCCCATTTCCATAAGACGGGCAGTCTTCACATTATTGGGGGTTGTGGATGGGGAGGCTTGTGACTGCTGTCACTCTTCCACGCCTCCCTTTTGCATGGAGGAAAAATGCGCAAGGCAGATTTACCGTAGACAGACACCCCTGCCCTGAATTCTGAGTATTTCATCATCAAATGATGGACAGCAGTTCCACCCCAGCAAAATCCCACGAGGCCAATTTTCTGGGCGTGACACTGTTGTTTCAGATACTTCAAGACAGCACCGATCTCTCTAGAACAGAAAGAAAAAGCATTCAAGAATCAGGCTTATTCTGTGAACCACTCAAAGGGCTGTGCTGATATCAGGGCTGTATCGGCAACTGTTTTTGAAGTTGTCAGGATTCTTCTTTTGGGAGCTCCATCCTCATTCGCTCCCGCCCAACTATTGCATCATGCCCCCAAGTCTCCCTGCCAAGCCCAGCCCCACCCCCCAACTGTCTGACAGCTGCAGGCATGCTGCGCTCTTCCCAAAACACAGATCCAACCAGCTCACTCCCAGCTGAGAGCTGAGCAGTCTTCCACAGCCCACAGCACGGCTCGGCTGGCAAGGCCTGAGTCCACGATCTGCTCCCTACAGAGGGCCCCAGTCTCCTCTGTCCCCTGAGTCTCCCGGAAGGGTCTCCTCTCTCCTCCCTCCCATTACCAGCTATAACTACAGGCAGACGCCCAGACACTCTCTGACCTCACATGTTCACTCTCTCCCCAGAACTCCCCACTCTGCATTGCTTGTCTTCTCCCACACCCAAAGAGGGCAGCCAAATTTGGAAGGACTATTTCAGCCACAAGGGGACCAAGAATAGTGGCCCTTGTCTGACAAATGATTCATCTGCAAACTGGTTGTTTGGAACTCAGAACACATTTTCAACTAGAAGCCATGGACCAAGTACAGGTGGGCTGCACACGTATGTTTATTGCAGCACAATTCACAGTTGCAAAGATATGCAACCTAAGTGCCCTGTGACCAATGAGTGGGTAAAGAAAGTGCAGTATATATACTCCATGGACTATCAGCCATAAGAAAGAACGAAATAATATCTTTTGCAGCAACTTGGATGGAGCTGAAGGCCATTATTCTGAGTGAAATAACTCAGGAATGGAAAACCAAATACTCGTTGTTCTCACTTGTAAGTGGGAGCTAACCTATGAGTAGGTTCGCAAAGGCACACAGACTGCTGTGTGGACTATGGAGACTCAGAAGGGGAAGGGCAGGAGAGGGTGAGGACCAAAGAACTACGTAGTGGGTGAAAAGGTGATGGATGGACTAAAATCTCTCTTTTCATAGATGGTGCTCATAAAATATTGTTTGATATTGATCATCATCACATAAAGAATGCTATTCCGGCTGGGTGTGGTGGTTCATGCCTATAGAGAGACACTATCTCTATTTTATTTTTAAATTTTTAATTAATTTCTTTTTTAGAGACAGAGTCTTTCTCTGTCCCCCAGGCTAGAGTGCAGTGGTAAGATCTCAGCTAATTGCAACTTCTGCCTCCTAGGTTCAAGAAATTCTCCTGACTCAGCCTCCGGAGTAGCTGGGATTACAGGCATGCATCATGACACCCAGATTTTTTTTTCTATATTTTTAGTAGAGATGGGGTTTCACCATGTTGGCCAGGCTGGTCTTGAACTCCTGATCTCAAGTAATCAGCCAGCCCAGGCTGCCAAAGTGCTGGGATTATTGGTGTGAGCCACCAAGCCTGGCCTAAAAATTTTAATTAAAAAAATTCAAAAAAATTTTTTTTCAATTAAAAAAATTTTAATTAAAAAAATTCAAAAAAATTTTTTTTCAATTAAAAAATTTTTAATTAAAAAAAAAATTTAAGCCAGGTGCAGTGGCTTATGCCTGTAATCCCCAGCACTTTGGAGAGGCTGAGGCAGGTGGATCACCTGAGGTCAGGAGTTCGAGACCAGCCTGGCCAACATGGTGGAACCTCATCTCTACTAAAAATACAAATATTAGCCAGGCATGGTGGCAAACACCTGTAATCCCACCTACTTGGGAAGCTGAGGCAGGAGAATTGCTTGAATTTGGGAGGTGGAGGTTCCAGTGAACCAAGATCATGCCATTGCACTCCAGCCTGGATGACAGAGCGAGACTCCGTCTCCAAAAAAAAAAAAATTTTTTTTCCCCTTTGTGCCATGGGAAGGATTCTATTGGCCATGGAGAAGTCCTACCCTGAGGGAGGGAGTAGAGTCTGAAAGGTGAAGCCCACGTGGCTTTCTCCTCCCTGGCACATGCCATACAAAAGGCCACGTCTGCGGATAACTCACCTGTCGATCTTCCGGGCATTTCTTGTTTTCAGCCACTCAGGGAAGATGGACCAGTCGCCAGAGGGGTCCCAAGGCTCTTGCCCTACAAAGAAGTCTGGAACAATGGTTCTGCAAAATATGGACATGAATTGAGCTTAGTTTCAGAGTTGCTTGACTCAGTATTTTGCTTGCATTTTTTAAAAAACTTGCTAAGTTGGCAAGTCTGGCTCAGAGAAAAGGAAAAGTAGTGGCTGTGAAGGCCAACTCTGATCACAGCAGAGCAGCCACCTGGCACCAGGCCAAGCCACCTTAGGTTTCACAACCGCAGGTGCACAGCGTCTGGCAACCCGTTGGTAACCCGGCCCTGCAAATGAGAGGCCATCCACAGGGCACACCCCCATGGGATAGGCTGGGGGCACCGGGGGGAATGGGCCTGAGGTGGGTAGCTTGAGGGCCCCTCCTGCCCCTCTCAGCCAGCCCGTGGGACTCCTGGCCTTTCACCCGAGCCTCAGGCCAGAGGGCACACCTGGCTAACGTGTTCAGTCACTATGACCAAGCAATTTTCCCAGCCTCCGCCCAAGACGCCAACGAAGCACAGCCTCCTCTCCAGAGGGTATGATCCTAAGACGGGCAGCAGAGAGCAAACACGCCTGGCCTCAGTCCAGGTGGCTCTTCCACGCAAGCCAACCCAGAGGGATGGAGCCAGCCTCTTGGGTTGAGTCCTGTTTCTTAAAATAGAATGCCACCTGGTTGGAGGAACAGGGCTCCTCCTGTAGGGGTAGAAAGAACACTGAAACTTGAGTGAGAAAATCCAAGTTCGAGGCTCAGTACACCGCGCGCTGCCGTGTGGCCCTAATGGGTCATGCCACCACTTCCAGCACAGCACCCTTGCACTGCCGAACCTCAGAGGAGGCTCTGGAGGGCAAAAAGACTTGCATACATGTGAAAGTGCTTTGTAAAAAAGGCGTCTTTCCTCATCGTTTATGTCCTGAGTCCTGCTAAAGGACCCACCGTGAAACAGCAGGAACAGCAATACCGTGTGACCGGCTGCCCGGGTGGTGTGATCTGGCACAACATCCCAGCTCTTTATGGCCTGGTTTCCTAATCTGCAAAATGAGAGTTACAGCAGCTCCGCCCTCAAGGGGCTGCCCGAGGCTTAAGGGCAACGATCCCAGTCATGCCCTCAGCACTGGCTCTAGTGGAGCAAGAGGCTAGCTATTTTTTTTTTTTTTTTTTTTAAATTACTGGGCTTGCCCCTAGAAAGTTAAGTCCTCTCATCTGGGGACGTGAAAAAGGAAAACTTGAAGGAAGGTCTTTTCATTCAGCACTGAGTCTGTGTCCCGTCAGGGCAGGCACGATTCCTTGAAGCCAGTTTCTCCTCCTAGAAAAACACGACGTAGGCTCACCCTCGGAGTCTCCAGCTTCTCCTTCTGTGAAAACAAAGGAATCCAGCCCTGCACCAAGCTCAGGGCTTGCTGGGTTGACGCTTTCCCACGCTGGAGAGGCAGAAGGATGCTGGCTCTCCTCTGTGCTTTATGCCAGGGGCAAATAAGAAGCAATCGGGTATCAGCCTTCGCCAAAGGCTGATACAAACTTGGCCAGACAAAGAGGTAAACTTTGGGAGGGGAGAAAGGTCTCACTGTGCCCCTTCTGAACCCCAGTCTAATTCTGACGGGGCCATGGTGGTTCGTGTGTGGGCCAGGTGGATCCGTGGACGCCCTGTTCTCCAAATGGGCCTGTGAAATCTGACCCGAGGCTGAGCTCCTTGAAGGGCCAAGTGACGGGTCCATTTCGGAGTCGGTGAGGTCTGCCCAAGGTGTCCAGTGCCTGTGTCTGGCCGGAGCCCCACAGAGGGCAAGAATTCTCAGTGTCCAGCAAGTCTAGAGGTCAGGTACGCCCAGGAGGACAAGAAGCCAGGGTTGGGTTAGCAGCACCAGGAGGGTGTTTCATTCCACATGACATTTCCCATTTACCTTCACCACAGTGAGATAAGGAAGTGTCTAATGTAAATACTGCATAGTCAGACTGCCGTTTTGGGTTTTTTTGGGGTTTTTTGTTTGTTTGTTTTTGAGACAGAGTGTTGCTTTTGTCACCCAAACTGGAGTACAATGGCATGTTCTCAGTCCACTACAACCCCCGCTTCCCAGATTCAAGAGATTCTCCTGCCTCAGCCTCCTGAGTAGCTAGGATTACAGGCACGTGCCACCACACCCGGCAATTTTTATACTTTTAGTAGAGACAAGGTTTCACCATGTTGGTCAGGCTGGTGTTGAACTCCTGACCTCCAGTGATCCGCCCACCTCGTCCTCCCAAAATGCTGGGATTACAGGCCTGAGCCACTGTGCCCAGCAGTTTTTTTTTTTTTTTTAAAGGGAACAAAATAAACCATGAAAATGTATATGAATTTAAACAAAGAAACAGAACTTTGTACATACGTGTATCCATTTCCTGAGATCATGTCAGCTATATATCTGGTATTGGGCAACTGCCAGCCAAATATATCTTGAATGACAATCACAGCTTTGCCTGCATCAACAGGGGATTTGGTGACATACGCCTTGATGTGCTCGACTTGAACTTCATGGCCCATCCCTCCATACTCAAATCTGTGGCCAATGTCACACGGACAAGGATAAGCTTCGTTAGCCATTGCAGAGATTTAAGTCGGGCTACGGAGAGAGAAACATGTGTCATATTCTGAATGGTGCAAATCCAAAGGTTATAAATGGTAAGTAAACCTCAGATCAAGATTATATAAAAAAAAATGCCTTTTAACTGCATCTATGGTATTAGGTAAGAAATCAGTGGTAACTTCTGGTTCTGGCAACACAGCAGATTAAGGCTATAGACACTAGAAATGGCAGACTGAGTAACAACAAAAAGAAGAGATGAAAGAACTCATAGGGGAAAAGGAACTCCCCAGGGCTGGGATTGGGGAGGAAACTGAAAGCCAGGGTGAGGTCGAACCCACAGACGCTGACGGGCCCAGTGATGCTGGGGGACAGGGCCCGACCCGGGAGCACCCCAACAATCGGGTGCTTTGGATTTTGTATCGACGTGTAGAATGAGCCTTGGAAGCACGTGAGAGCCACTCCTGCAATGCTGAGCCCCCAGAGGTTCATGTCTCAGGTAAGGCGGCCAAAGCAAAACGAAAGAGCTCTACCCCCAGGCTCCGCGATGTGCAAAGCTCTTCTCCATCTGGATTCTGAGCAGAAGGGAAAAAAGAAAGCAATCCCCACATGTACACCGTGCTTGCAAAGTAGGAACACCTGGCTGGGAAATGAATACAAGTGACTCTGGGCCAGCGAAACGCCTAGAACACCTGACAGAGACCAGTGCAAATCCACTTTACCACGAGACTCCCACCGTCCAGGCCAGAAATACACCCCGCTGAAGAGGAGCCCGTCATAAAAACTACACACAAGGAGGCGATCCAGATTAACAAGAACAGGCAGACACGACAACTGGGAGGAGTGGACGGTGGGAATGGGCTTGAAACTCACCGGAAAAACACTTGGTGAATCAAAATAGAAAACAGGAAGGAATTAGGAAATTAAAAACCTGTTCATTAAAAAGCATCCGTTGATGCCACCGAAGTGGGGAAAGAGTCAAACAAGGAGTTCGATTTGGAAATGACTGTGAACAATCAGCTGAGATAACTCACCGCCTGCCCTCAGACCTGCCGAAACTTAAATAAATGTAAACAGACTGAACTCACTAGCTGAAACAGATTCTCAATTTGGACTTGTTTTGTTTTGTTTTTTTGAGACGGGATCTTGCTCTGTCGCCCAGTCTGGAGTACCGTGGCACAAACACAGCTCGCTACAGCTACAGCCTCAACCTCCTCCCTGGGCTCAAGTAATCCTCCCACCTTAGCCTCCCAAATAACTGGGACTGTGGAAAGCACCACCACAATCAACTCCTTTAATATATATATATATATATATATATATATATATATATATATATACACACACACACACACACACACACACACACATAGACGAGTTCTCACTATATTGTCCAGGTTGGTCTCATACTCCTGGGCCCACGCAATCATCCTGCCTCAGACTCCCAAAGTGCTAGGATTACAGGTGTGATCCACTGTGCCTGGTTCAAATTAGACTTTTTAAAAATTAAGCTTCCATCAACAAAGAGGAACTGGGAAGACTAAACTCAGACAGACGTAGATCCCTTCATTAGCAACTGGAGATTACAGAGTTATTACAAATAGATGTGAACTGCCTGCATGTTAACCCACAATGTTTCAGCAAAGATTTTATATAACAAATGTTACACAAATACCATGAAGAAATTATAATAAAGGCCAAAAGATTTAGAACTGAATCACCATGAAAACACCATATAGAAAAACTTGATACAATCAATACAGTGGTACTTTGAGACATTTTTATAGCCTAGACCAGGCGTACCCAAACTAAAGCCCTGGGCCGCATGCGGCCCCCTGAGGCCATTTATCGGCCCCCTGCCGAACTTCAGGAAGGGGCACCTCTTTCATTGGTGGTCAGTGAGATGAGCACAGTATGTGGTGGCCCTTCAACGGTCTGAGGAACAGTGAACTGGCCCCCTGTGTAAAAAGTTTGGGGACGCCTGTGTAACCCCACCATCATTCACAGACATTCAAAAACTGTGAACTGTCAATGTGCACATTCCCAGCTGAGAACACACAGGGTGCAATAGACTGAAAGTGTCCCCCAAAAGTCAGATGTTGAAACCCTAATTCCAATGGAATGATATTTGGAGTGGGGAGTCTTTGGCAGTCAAGTAGTTCACCAGTGCAGAGCCCTCAAGAATGGGATGAGTGCCTCATAAAAGCCCAGAGAACTGGCTTGCCTTCTTTCTTCCTGGCGAGAACACAGCCAGAAGAGGACTGTCTGCAAACCAGAAACAGGCCCTCAGCAGACACTGGATCCGCCAGCGCCTTGATCTTGGACTTCTCAGCCTCCAGAACTGTGAGAAATGTTTGTTGTTGAAGCCACATTCATTAGAGCGGCCTGATGCCTGCAACACTCTGCCTTCTCATTTTAGCTCTCACAGTGTAAACAAGTGTCCTTCGTGTCTTAGTGCACATTTTTGTGCTTTCTGCGGGGTTGATTTTGCTCTTTAAAAGGCACCACACTTAGTCGTCACGTGCTGTCTACTGTTCTCAACACGGGAAGGCTGTGATGTGCCTTACGGAGAAAATGCGGGTGTTGGAGAAGCTTTGTTCAGGCACGAGTTACACACCTGTTGGCCCTGAGCACCCTGTTAATGAGTCATCAATATATTAAAAAGGTGTATTCCACAAAAACACACATAAAACCAAGGTTATGTATTGGTCTCTTGAGGAAAATGTTGTGACCAGACCAGAGGTTTCTGGGAAGCTAACCCTGAATTTTCCCCAAGAGCAATATAGTTTAGGATTTGCTAACTCAGTGTTTGTCATGACTTTACTACTACAAATACTAACAATGACTGTATGTGGGTTTTCTTTGTTACTTGGTTGGTTGGTTGAGACAGAGTCTTACTCTGCCCCCACGCTGGAGTACAGTGGTGCAATCTTGGCTCCCTACAACCTCCACCTACTGGGTTCAAGCAATTCTCCTGCCTCAGCCTCCTGAGTAGCTGGGACTACAGGCGAGCACCACCATACCCAGCTAATTTTTGTATTTTCGGTAGAGACAGGGTTTCGCCAGGTTGGCCAGTCTGGTCTTGAACTCCTGACCTCAGGTGATCACTGCGCCAGACCTGTAGGTGGTATTTAAACTTTAAGACTGAGTGACATCATTCAGAAAAGGATGCTGGATGACGAAAAGAGGAATCTAAAAGACTGAGCCCTGGGGCCCTTCAACACTAACACTTCAGGAAGATCGGAAGGAACCAGCGAGTGAGGCATGAGTCTGGGAAGGAACAGCCAGTGACAGGGGAGGAAGACCCCAAGTGCGGTGTCCTGGGTCCGAGTGAAGAATGGGTATCCAGGGGTGGTCAATAAATGCTGAGGGTTGCCCTCAGGGCTTGGCAAAGTGAAGGCCATTGGTGACCTCCACAAGGACAGGCTTGGGCAAGGGTGACAGCATGATCACAGTGGGCTTAAAAGGGACTGAGAGGAGACTGGGCACAATGGCTCACACCTTTAATCCCAGCACTTTGGGAGGCCAAGACGGGCAGGTCATTTGAGGACAGGAGTTCAAGACCAGCCTGGCCAACATGGGGAAACCCCATCTCTACTGAAAATATAAAAATTAGCCAGGCATGGTGGCGAGCGCCTGTAATCCCAGCTACTCGGGAGGCTGAGGCGGGAGAACCGCTTGAACCCAGGAGGCGGAGGTTGCAGTGAGCCGAGATTGAGCCATTGCACTCCAGTCTAGGCAACAAGGTTGAAACTCCAACTAAAAAAAAAAAAAAAAAAGGAGCAAAGAGACTGTGCAAAAGATGCAAAAGACAGAGAAAAGATACACTGATGAGTCTTTTATTTTTTTTTAATGGAAGAAGTCTCAGCCTATTTGTGGATGAGAATGACGCTATAAAGAGGAAAACAAACCAAACACAATCACCGCCCGGGGAGAAAGGGAAGCGGAGAGTGAGCGGAGGGTCTGGGAAGGGTCTGGGAAGGGTCTGGCGCACAGCGGGGAGCCGCCTTCCTCGGCAGCACCGCCAGTCCTCACGAGCCCGAGGGAGGCTGAGGACAGGGCCGCAGACGCAGGTGGTGGGCGGGTGGGCGGCGGGAGACTGTGCATGTCTCCTACTGACATCTGCTCGCTCACAGAACCGAGAAGCAGAGCCAGCAGCTCAGGGTGAGAGGCGGGAGGAGGGTTGGGGAGAGCAGAAGCAGGAGAACTGGGGCGGGGGAAAGACGACCTGGGAGAAGTACTGAGGTCGGGGAGATGTGTGCTGTTTCCTCCAGCCGGGTCCAGCAGCGCAGGCCAGCACAGAGCAGGCCAAGAGAGAGGGACCCGGGGGCTCTGCCGTCACGAGACGGGGCAGGAGGGAGCTGTGGGGAGAAGAGGGACTGGCCATCCAAGGGACGACGCGGCGGCACTGGGCTACCCAGGTGAGAAAGCCAGTCACCACGGATCCCCTACCCCAGCACCCGAGCATATCAAATGGCTACAAGTCTAAGTAGGAAAGGCAAAATTCAACGATTAAAGGGACATACAGAATACTTTTTTCTCATATTTTGGAATAAAGCAGAATTTCTTAAATTTGACTCAAAAAAAAAAATCAGCCGTAAGGAAAAGGATTATAAATCCCATGTCACTGTAACCAATTGTTTAAAAAAAAAAAGGAAAGACAACTGCAGAAAACTGAATTGCTAAGAGGATATCCGATGATATTGCAAATTCTTGTGAATTCTGGCAGGGGAGGATAATGGTATTGCAGCCATGTTTTTGGAGCTTCTGTCTCTCACAGATGCAGCATATTCGCACAGATGACATGACCAGAGGTCTGGGATTTACTTCAAAATACCCCATTTGGGCCGGGTGCGGTGGCTCACACATATAATCTCAGCACTTTGGGAGGCCGAGGCAGGTGGATCACCTGAAGTCATGAGTTTGAGACCAGCCTGGCCAACATGGTGAAACCCCGCTTCTTTTGTATTTGTAAAATACAAAAATCAGCTGGGCATAGTGGTGAGCACCTGTAATCCCAGCTACTGGGGAGGCTGAGG